CGAAGTTTCCCGCGGTGTAAGTTCCAGCTCACTCTCTGTTAGAGCACTGATTGGTCTGTTGGCAACTCTTGACTGCCAACGGAGTCCACCACCACCACCAGGGTCCAATATGCTGCAGCAGTTGCCACCCACGTAAAGGTGTTGGCAAGCATACGTTGCCAACAAGACCCATTGATTGGTCCCTTTGGCAGCATCGTGTACCAACACGATGTAATCCTCACAGCAGTGCACGGCAGATGCGCCTCGTCGTTGCCGTGCATGCTAGGCAACCACCCATCAGAGGCATGGATGGCCCACAGTCAGTTATAGGGCCATCCTCTACAACCTAGGGTTTCATCCCCATTCCTCAGCTCAGCTTCATCTCTCTGGGCCCATACACTACCCAGTTCAGTAGCCTCAGAACCTCTCGATCTTGTTCGGCAGGCTTTCTCAGACATGCGCCATGGCTCTGCCCGACAATCCCGCAACCGCAGATGATGACGACCCTGATTCTCGTCCTGCGTTAACAGGCCTAAATTTGTTGCTCAGTCACCTAGCTCTCGAGAAGGCAGCACGCGCCGAGCCCGATTCTATCCCCACCTCGAAGGCACCTCCAGCTCCCGTGCTCTCAAATCCCGACCCTGTGGCAGAGATACGTGCGGAACCACCTGTCATTTCGGCATCGCACCATCCCACTCAGACCACGGAGCGAACCGTCCGGCTCAAGCAGGCGACCTTGAGCTTCGCCAAGCCTTCTTCCTCGACCGCCAACGTCAACAATTCTCCCGGCTCGTCCGAGCGTCCGCGTCCTCGCCTCACCATAAACCTGACCGAGCTCATTGAAGGGCTATACGATGATGCCATTGACAAGTTCAAGAGTCAGTGGCAAGCACGGTTTCCCTGGCTGCAAATCACCAAAACCACATCCGGATTGCCTGCCTTCAAGTGTATTGTTTGTGCAGCTTATGCTGGCAACGGAGGCAAGTGCGGGAGACGCGGGAAAGGCGCCACGGACTTGCAGACCCAGTCGTTTCGTAAGCACGCGGGCACGGCGAAGCACAAGCTGGCGATGGCAAGACAAACAGCTGTGCAGGAGTGCGGAGAGAGGCAGCCGCAGATCGACCACCACCGCGCCACCATGGATGGAGAGCAGTCGCGCGTCGTCGCCCTTCTCGACTCCCTGCTCTTCATCAGCAGGTCCGATGCGCCGATGGGGATGTGGGTGAAGCTGGTGCGTTACCTGGCGGAGAAGGGCGTGCCTGGCTTCCCGAAGAAGGGGTACGGCACCTACTACACCATGTGAGTGCAACTGCCACAATTTATTTAATGCACTTTGACGTGTCAATGTTTAGTTTCGAGGATAATGTTCTCACTACTATCTCTATGTGCATGCAGATACGGTTTCGGTGAGCTGACGCAAGCGACTGCGACATGGCTCCAGACAACTCAGCTGGAACACGTCTTGGCGTCGCCCTTCGTCGGCATCTCGATCGACGAGAGCACGGATAGGTGCAGCGGGAAGCACCTAATCATCTTTATCACTTTCATCCGTGACTACAAGCTTGTCACGGAGTTCATGACACTACTCACTGTGGAGAAGGCCGATGCAGCTTCCCTGCTCAGTGTTCTGGTGTCACATCTGCAGGCTGTCGGGGTCGACCTTCAGCGCATAGCGGGGATCAGCACGGACGGTGCCAACGTTATGATGGGCAGCAAGTCCGGCCTCACCACACGCCTCCGACTGCGCATCCCCCATCTCGTGTCTTCACATTGTATCGCGCACAGGTATGTATGTATGTGTACTCCCCATCACTTGTGTTGCGTCTTTTACGTCTGTGTCTTTACGTCTGTGTCTTGTTTTCGTCTTTTGTACAGAGAGGCACTCGCGGCTAAAACGGCGGCCGAGAAAGTTCCAGCGTTCAGTGTCATTGACACGGTGATTCGCACCGTGGCTGAGCATCGCGGCCGTTCGGGGCCGTGGCATCAACGGTTCATGGGGCTCCAAGAGGTCTTCGCATCCACCTCTCTTGAGCTTCAGGGCATTCATTCCGTCCGATGGCTTTCGCGGGGCGACGCAGTGCTCAGGCTTGTCGCGGTGCTTCCGGCACTCATCGTGATGCTTAAGGAGTGGGACGCGAACCTCTATGCTCTTGTTACAAGTTACAAGTTTCATTTCCTTCTCTTCTTCATTGCTGATGTGCTTGAGCAGCTCAACATCCTGAACCGGGTGTTCCAACACAAGGAGGTGAGCTTGGCCATAGGTTTCTGTTCATGTTTTGTTGCAGTCGTCATTATGCTTTGTTCCTGTATGTTAACCGTGACCATACACTTACTACATTTCTTTGTTTCCTGTCCAGCTTGACTATGCCAGCGTGCATGCGCAGATCAAGCGCACAACGCCCCACATCGAGAGCCGCTACGTTGATTGTGGCGACGACTTCGGTGGTGGCGTGAGCGAGCTGCTGTCCCCCTTCATCGCGCGCCATGGGCCAGGAAGAAACCTGGAGGTGAAAGTCGAAGGGGTTGACTCAGACGGCCGTCTAGCACGCTTCAAATTCATGCTGCATGAGCACGAGCTGGAAGAGTGGGAAGGACCCGTGACCCATGATGACTGTGTGGAACTGTGCACAGAGTTTGCGGAGGTGATTGTTCACCAACTCGAGCATCGGCTTGGCGACCTGGATGGGATGTCCGGGGTGAAGCTGTTCCTGCCTGACGAGTACCCGCTGGATCGAGTCGAGAGGAAACGGAGGTGCCTTCAGTGGCTACAGTCGCTGGTCACTTTGTTCAAGGCCGACCTGACGGAAGAGATCGTGCCAGGTAAGCCTTTTTGTGTGTGCCTTTAAAAATCGCTGGCTCGTTCCACTGTTTCTGTTCTGTGCGACACTGCAATGACTGTTTACTCATTCTGTTCTTTTAATCCTTTTCCCAACCCCGCCAGGAGTCAACAAGCACCGTGCGGAGAAGGAGCTGCGCATGTTTACCTCGGTGCTTGCAGCCTCTACCAAGGGCGAGCGCAGCTTCCACGCGGGGCTAACATCCATGCTCAACACACCTGACTGGCGGGACAACTACCCCAACCTTGTTCATTTGTGGGTGGCGGTAGCTGTCCTGCCGCTGAGCACCGTGGAGTGCGAGCGGGGGTTCTCCAGGCAGAATATAATCAAGTCGTGGCAGAGAGGCTCACTGAAGGACGCACGGCTGGGAGACCTCATGTGCATGAGTCTCATGGACTACGAGCCCAAGTGGGATGAGATCGTGACAATCTGGAAGGCCTACAAGAAGCGCAAGCCCCACAGCAACGCTCCTCTTTCGCCTGCAGGAAAGCAACAGAACAAGGCCAAGAAGGCAGATGGAGTGATGGAAGTAGAAGACTTAGGGGAGGATAGTGATGCATCTGATAGTGATGATGATAATGGATTTCATGAGGAGAATTAAGAGTAGATAGGCTAGGACATATATAGCCCTAGTATAGGTAGGTAGGACCCTAAATCTAACCGTTAATGCATCAGTACCTGTATGTTATGGTAGGCCTGTGCCTGTCTAATGTAGTTCAACCAAGGTCAACTGCACCCTATACAACACACGGCTAAAATCAAAATCAGACTTGTCACTGGTGTAGACTCTGAATGCTTCAAACTTTTTTTTTTAGGCACTCTGAAGTTTCAGCCTTTTTTTTCAACCAACTCTAATCAAATCAGACTAACTCAGTGTACTAAGTCTGACAAATCAGACAGGCCAAAAACGAATCTGAGGGCCTGCTCGTTTGAAATCGCAATGACAAGATGAACATTTTGAAGTGAAAACAACTACGGTAGATCTCATATATGTCATTGTATAAGCCCCAGCGCTTATAAATTTACTCGATTATAAGCCCACCCCCTAAAAAAAACATGTTTTATTATTGCCCCCCATGGGGGCTTATCCGGGGTATGACGGTAACCAGCAAAGTCCGTAAATGACCACAGCAGGAAATCAACCAGCAGCAAACAACAGATGGTAAGCAGCAAAGTCTGAGAATGATACAAATTCTTGCATCAACAGCAGCAGGCGTCAAAGCACCAGCCAGCACCAGACGTGCCGACGCGTGTCGACACGTGCGAGTGCCTTTGTCAACAGATGTGCATTCCTGGCAAGGCTCTCGTTACCCTACGCATCAGGGTTGACTATACCTAGAACCCTGATTACTAAGGGTGGCCCAAAACAAATCTGAAGCCCTGATTCATAGCCGCCCTCATCCTCGCCTCCCTTAAAACCACTCCATTCCACCAGCATCCACCGCCTTTGCCACCCTCGTCCATGCCTGTACTGGGAGAGCCACCGGTAGTTCTCAGTCGCCATTACTTCCCAGGGGCACCGTTAGCAGCAGCAGAACCAGCACCAGAGGTAGCACCACCAGAAGCAGAAGGATCGGCAGCAGCAGTTTTAGCCGCCTCCTCCCTATCCATCGCCAACACCACCTTCTTCAGCAGTGCCTCGCTCGGCAGATGAGCATTCTCCGCTGCCTTAGCCACTACCCTCGTCCATCCCTCGCCATACCTGCCACTCCCTCACGCCTCCCTCAGAGCCACTCCCTCACGCCTCCCTCAGAGCCACTCCCTCACGCCTCCCTCAGAGCCACTCCCTCACGCCTCCCTCAGAGCCACTCCCTCACGCCTCCCTCAGAGCCACTCCCTCACGCCTCCCTCAGAGCCACTCCCTCACGCCTCCCTCAGAGCCACTCCCTCACGCCTCCCTCAGAGCCACTCCCTCACGCCTCCCTCAGAGCCACTCCCTCACGCCTCCCTCAGAGCCACTCCCTCACGCCTCCCTCAGAGCCACTCCCTCACGCCTCCCTCAGAGCCACTCCTTCACACCTCCCTCAGAGCCACTCCCTCACGCCTCCCTCAGAGCCACTCCCTCACGCCTCCCTCAGAGCCACTCCTTCACGCCTCCCTCAAAGCCACTCCCTCACGCCCCCCTCAGAGCCACTCCCTCACGCCTCCCTCAGAGCCACTCCTTACACGCCTACCCTGGGAGAGCTACCCATCAGTCGCCATTGGCGCAGCAGTAGCTGACCCGTTCGCACTTGCAGGAGCACCATTAGCAGCAGCAGCAGCACCGTTAGCAGCGGCAGGAGTAGAGGCAGCAGCACCAGAAGCAGTCTTAGCCGCCTCCTCCCTATCCATCGCCAACACAACCTTTTTCAGCAGCGCCTCGGTCGACAGGTGAGCATTCTCCACCGCCTTAGCTACTTTCGTCCATGCCTCTCCATACCTCGGCTCAGCAGCAACACACCTCCTCACTACCTCCCCTCTCTGCTCCTCGCTCCCATGTGCCTTCTCGAACCTCCACAGCTGCGCCCAGAAGTCTCCCACTTCTGGAGCTAGCGTCACGGCCCGGCCGAACCAGTTCCGGGCCTTGTCTACTTTCCGATCTGCCCAGAAAAGATGAGCCACCGCAGCAACAACGTAAGCATCGTGATCACATTTTTTTAAAGCGTCTACGCTGCGGGACTTTCGCTGAGGCCGCGGTGCCATTTCGATCGCTTCTGCCCATAGCCTCCCGCTGCTGGGGCATTCTTGGAGAGCTTTGGCTAAGGTAGCTTCGGCAGCCTTCTTGTTTCCGGCCCGAGCCTCCGTCCGAACCGCAGCCAGCCACAGCTCCGGCGTCTGCGGGTTCTTGTGCCGAGCCTGTTCCAGAATCGCCCGAGCCTTGCTCACCGCACCTAAGTCTTCCTCCAGCTTTGCAGCGCACAGCCAGAGGAAAATACTTCCCGGGCAGTTTTTCAGCCCGCGCTGGAAAATTTCCCGGGCAGCCCCGGTCCGGCCCTGCCGAGCCTCAAGCTGCCCGAGCATAAGCCAGAGCTTGTGAAACCTGGGAAACAGCCTCAACCCCGACTCTAACAAAAATTTCTCCTCTTCCACATCCCCCACCTCTCTCTCTAGAATTGCACTTTTCATCCAAACTCTCTCCGTCCCTCCCATCTCCCTCGCCTTTGCAAGCAACCTCCTAGCCCGCTCCGGCTCTCTGTTCTCAAATTCTAGCTTGAAAGCCGCAAGCCAGATTTCTTCAGAATCCGGAATAGCAGCATAGGCTTCCTCTAGAATAGCACGGGCACCTGGCACGTCCCCTGCTAGCCACTTTTCCTTTGCCCCCATAAGCCACAAAACTTCGGCCTGCGGGCAGTACGTGACTGCCCGGCGAAGCAGCGCGTCCAATGACTCGCGAGTCCCGTGCGTTTTTTCCAGCTGGGCTGCCCGCCGCCACACCGACTTCTTGCCCGGAAAAACGGTCAGCACATGCGCGAAAATCGCCCGAGCCGTCTCCACCGAACCTCTTTTGATGCACTCCTCCGCGTCGGCCACCCAGGTTCGTTTCCGATCCTCCTCCTCTACCCCCATACCGACCGTCGAGCGAATGATAGCGCGACACGTGGCGACCGATCCTGCCCTCTCCGCTGCTTCAGCCTCCCTCATCCACGCTTCCCTATCAATCACCACCCCCTCTCTCTGCAACCCCCGGATTGCCCTCTCTATAATCTTCCCCACCATCCCTTCATTATCATTCGCTTCTTCCAGCTTCGCAGCAGCAATCCAAATCGCCGGCTCCGTTGGCAGGGCCTCCCTAGCCTTATTGAGAACCCTCTTGGCGTTTTCGTAGACCTCTAGACGCGCCAGGGCCAACCAAAGTTCCACGTGCAACGGGCAGCATTCAACTGCCCGAGACAAAAGAATCCTCGCGTCGTCCTCCTTCGCTAGCTCCACCACGGCCTTCCACAGACGCACCGAATCCGGAACGTGCTCTAAAGCCTTCCTTAGAACGCGGGATTTTGCCACGTCATCCTTCTCCAGCCGGGCAGCGTGCATCCAGAGCTTGACAGATGTAGGGATCTCCTTCACCCCCCGCGCGATCACGGCTCGCGCCGCGTCAGGAGAGGAAAGCCGGCACGCCTCCAACCACACATCCTCGTTTTTAGGACACTCCTGGCAGCCTCTCTGAATAAACCCCCTCGCGGCCTGAAGCTTCCCGGCAAGTTCCTCCAGCCGCGCCGCTGCGATCCACCCGGGCGCGTGCTTCGGATTCGTCTGGATTACCGACTTTAAGAGGAGGCGCGCCTTTTTAATATCCGAGATCTCTGCATCGGAAGTAATTCGCATGGATTTAAGATCCGTTAAGTACCCCTTTGGATCCACTACAGTCTGTCCCGTTACACTGTCAGAAAGGCGGTCCAGTTTGAGACTCAGCACTGTACCGCGTCCCTCGCCCACAGCCGTCAGATCTGTAACGGGCGTCTGAGATGCGAATGGCGTTTCAGTGCCACCCAAAACGGCTCCTTTCCCCTTCGGATCTAGCGCCGACACGTGTTCCTTCTCCTGCCGCGCCTTCTCTAAAAGCGTATCCGGTACAGGCACGAAGCTCTCGAACCGCTTCTTTTTGTTTCGTAAACTATAGTCCCCGATTTCCGGGATGCTGTCCCAATCCGTGGTAGACATCTGGCCCAAACCGCGCTTCAGATCCGCGAATTGCTCCGTGATTTTCGGGTTCGAAGCGCGGTACTTCTCGATCTCCTCCTTCAGCCGCGCCTCGCGCCGGTCGCGCCGCCGATCGTCCATGCGATCGTCGACGCTGTCCCAAACCGCGTCCGCGTCTTTATCATCCTCGTCATACTCCCCAGTCGCAAACAGCCCCATATCGTTTCCTTCGAATTCGTCGAATTTCTGATGCTCGTCGTACTTAACCTCCTTTTTCTCCTTCCCCGTATCCTCCTCCTCTTCTTCCTCCTCCTCCTCCCCTCCCCCCGCTCCCCCTCCCGCGCCTCTCCCGCGACCCAGCGGCGCCGCGTTGCGGTCCGGCATGTCCGGAGCGGCCCGCGCGGGACCGATATCGGACCGCGTGGTGAAGCCCGTCGCGCCGCGACCGAGACCGGCGACATAGTTAGGAGGCGGTCGCTGATTAAAGTTGAGCTTCGGACGCGGAACCGCGGGCTGCGGCGCGCCTCCGGGCAGAAGAAAAGTCTGGTGGACGGTCACGTCCCGAAGCGAAAGCGAATGCTGACTTGGATCGCCGCGTCGCGACGCGAACACGGACGCGAGCGGCGCGGCATCATCGGAGAGCAGGCGCGATTCGAAAAGGAGGTGTTGGCGGGAAGCGGTTGCGGGACCGCCTTTGGAGGACAATAGGTCTTTAAGATCCGCGACTCGCGCGAAATCCGGGAGCTGAAGGGAGAGTGTGGTGCCTCCTAGGGTTCGCACGAAGAGATGCATGTCGCCTAGTGATGATGGTGCTGGCGATGCTGCTAATGGTGCTGCTGGTGCTACTGGTGCTGCTGGTGGTGATGTTGGTGGTGAGCTCCGGCTGGTAACTGATTTCTGAAGTTTCAGAGGCTTCTGAGAATACCGGGAAAATGGGAAAGTGAGGAAGGAGAGACCAAGGGGCTGTTCGCCAGCACCATTATAGCAAAAACAACGGGATAACGACGGGATCAAGAATGTTCCTCTCGCCTTCCTGATCCCGTCAGTTAGAGTTCGTTTACCTCCGTGAGCCGGGTCAGCCCGTGAAAAAAGTGCCGAGCCTCACCTACCTGTCAGAACATTATAGCTTATGCTTTTGTGTAGGCTGTAGTGGGGTATCCCATAGGGGGTACAACCCAATTAGGGTTAGTACTTGTACCCACTTCTTTCATTCTCGTTTCAGTTTTCTCATGGTATCGAGCAGGTTCCCTCGTGGGAACTGTTCCTAGGGCCCACCAAGTCGAATTTTTTTTTTCCTGCCCGGAGCGCGCTCAGCCCTAGCCCGAGCCGCGCTCCCCTTTCTCAACCCAGTCGCGCCGCCCTAGCGGCCCCGTCGCCTACCTTACGGCCCTCGCGCCGCCCTTCGGCCTCGTCGCCTACCCCGCGGCCCGCGCGCCGCCCTTTCCCAGCCCCGATCCGCCGCCTTGCGGCCTCGTCGCCCACCCTGCGGCCCGCGCGCCGCCCTTCCTGGCCCCGACCCGCCGCCCTGCGGCCTCGTCGCCTACCCCGCGGCCCGCGCGCCGCCCTTTCCCGGCCCCGATCCGCCGCCCTGCGGCCTCGGTGCCTACCCTGCGGCCCTCGCGCCGCCCTGCGGCCCTGACGCCGCCCTTACCTGCGGCCCCGCCACCTACCTGCGGTCCCGCCGCCCTTACCTGCGGCCCCGCCCTTACCTGCGGCCCCGCCACCTACCTGCGGCCCCGCCACCTACCTGCGGCCCCGCCACCTACCTGCGGCACCGCCGCCCTTACCTGCGGCCCCGCCGCCCTTACCTGCGGCCCCGCCGCCCTCACCTGCGGCCCCGCCGCCCTTACCTGCGGCCCCGCGGCCACCACTACGGCGCAGGCGCCGTCGCCTGCTGCAGCGCCGCCCGCCACCCGAGCCGCCCGAGCCGCCTCACCCAGTCGAGCAGCCGACCGCCGCGCCGCCCTGCAGCCGCACCGCCGAGCCGCCCAGCAGCCGAGCAGCTGAGCCGCCGAGCCGCCGAGCCGCCCTGCAGCCGAGCCGCCCAGCCGCCCAGCAGCCGAGCCGCCGTGCAGCCGAGCCGCCGAGCCGCCCAGCAGCCGTGCCGCCGAGCCGCCCAGCAGCAGAGCCGCCCTACAGCCGAGCCGCCCGCACCGCCGAGCCGCCCGAGCAGCCCTGTCCGGTAAGAGCAGTGCCTCTGTCACTGCAATGCCCTTACCCTACTGTTTGTGCTGCTAGTCTACTGTTGTCATGGCTACCCCTAGTGTCCTCGCTTTTGACGCTGAGGGTCGGGCCATTGACTTTGACGTCTGGATAGATGACCTGCAGCTTTTCTTACAGTGCGATAGGGCAGACGGTCTCTCCCTCTTTGACCTCACCTCTGGTGCCTCTCCTGCCCCTGCTGCTGATGCTGACGCCTTTGTTCGCTCCCAGTGGCCCACGCGCGATGCTGCTGCACGTCTTGCTGTGCGTCGCCACCTCCCTACCTCTGAGCGTGCGCACTTTAGTCAGTACAAGAGTGCTCAGACATTGTACGACGCTGTAGTTGCACGCTACTCCTCCCCTGCCACTGCTGCACTGAGCCGTCTCATGCTACCGTACCTCTTCCCTGACCTTGCTGCCTTTCCCACAGTCGCTGACCTCATTACGCACCTCCGCACTAGTGACACTCGCTACTGCGCTGCGCTTCCTGCTGATTTCTGCGCCAACCCCCCCCCCCCCCATGTATATCACCCTCTACTACATAGTCACCCGGCTCCCTGACTCCCTTCGCGTAGTCAGGGACCACTTCCTCGCAGTGTGCCCCACCACTCTCACCGTTGACCTCCTCGAGAAGGCAAGGGCAAGGGGGGCAAGGGCTCTGGAGGAGCGGGCGGGGGCGGTGGTGGCGGAGGCGGAGGGGGTGGGGGTGGTAGTGGGAGTGGTGGCGGGGGTGGGGGTGCTGGTGGCAGCAGTGGAGGCGGAGGCGGCGGCGGTGGTGGCGGAGGGAGGGGAGGCGGCGGTGGTGGCGGAGGCGGCGGCGGTGGCGGAGGCGGCGGAGGTGGCGGAGGTGGCGGTGGAGCTGGTCGCGGTTCTACGCAGAGGAGTGGCTCCGGTGGTGGTCCGCGCCAGCAGCAGCAGCGCGGTCGTGAGACCCTGTCCCCTCAGCAGCTCCGTGAGTGGTACACTGCACGCCAGCGGGGTGGGGGTACTGGTCCATGCACCTACGTTCTGCGCACAGGCGACTGCGCGGGTGAGCAATGTGGGGGTGCGCACCCCACCCAGCGCTGCTTTGGCCGCCTGACGGACGCGTGGCGTCACCAGTTCCCTGAGGCCACAGAGATCCCTCGCTGGGGCGAGCTGTCTAGGGCGGGAGTTGCTATCTTTGACCTTGATTTTGATGCTATTCTTTCTGCCATGTATGCTGTGACTATTAGTGATGAGGGTGACTGTTACCGGTGTTTCCCGCCCGATCCGGGCATTGAGACTGCTGCTCTAGGTACTGGTGAGGCTGCTGCCCTAGGTGCTTGCGACGCTGCTGCTCTAGGTGCTCGTGCGTCTGCGTCCTCAGGTGCTGGTGAGTCTGCTCTCTCAGGTACTGCGTCGGCTTCGGCCTCCCACACCTTCACCCATGACTCTGGGGCTTCTCGCTCCTTCTTTCGAGACCGCACCACACTCACGCCGCTTGGTCGGCCGGTTGCGGTGTCTCTGGCTGACCCCTCTGGGGGTCCTGTCCTTGCTCACTTCTCCACAGTCCTCCCGTGTCCGGCGGCTCCCTCTAGCACCCTGTCTTGTCTTTACCTCCCCTCGTTCTCCACGAACTTGGTGAGTGGTGCTGACCTACAGGATGGGGGAGTGCACCAGTTCACTCCTGCGCGTCAGCGGGTGACGCACTGCACAGAGGCTCGGACAGGTCGACACTTGGCTACGTTTACACGTCAGCCGGGGTCGAGCCTGTACACACTGACCACTGCGTCTCCTCCAGTTGCTGACTCTGGTCAGGTAGCTGCGTCGGGTCAGGTGTTTGCTGCAGCGTCCAGGTCTGGTCCTGAGTCTGCCCCCTGTTCGTGTCGTCTCCTGTCTCACGAGACTCTCCTCTGGCACCACCGCCTTGGTCACCCCTCTCTGCTTCGGCTCAGAGGCATGGCCTCCTGTTTCCTTGTTTCTGGTCTTCCCCGGTCTCTCCCTCCCCTTCCTCAGGGGCCTGGCCCTACCTGTGTCCCCTGTGTCGAGGGGCGCCAGCGGGCTGCCCCTCACTCCTCCCATTTCCCTCCGACAGAGGCCCCGCTGCAGACACTTCACATGGGCGTGTGGGGCCCAGCCCGCGTCCGTGGACAGGGTCACGAGCGCTACTTCCTGCTGGTGGTTGATGTCTACTCGCGTTACACCACAGTCTTCCCCTTGCGCAGCAAGGGTGATGTCACTGAGGTGTTGATTGACTGGATCCGTGCAGCTCGTCTCCAGCTCAGGCAGAGCTTCGGCTCGGACTTTCCTGTTCTGCGTCTGCACTCTGACAGAGGCGGAGAGTTCTCTTCTGGCCTTCTGAGAGCCTACTGTCACGCACTCGGCATCCGTCAGACCTTCACGCTTCCGGACTCTCCGTAGAAAATGGGATCGCTGAGCGCGGCATTGGCATGGTCATGGACGTCGCTCGTACGTCTATGATGCATTCGGCTGCCCCCCATTTTCTGTGGCCGTTTGCGGTGAGGTACGCGGCGCATCAGATCAACCTCCACCCCAGGGTCTCCAGGCCGGAGACCTCCCAAGCTTTGCTGTGGACGGGGAAGGTTGGCGATGCATCTGCGTTCCATGTCTGGGGATCTCGGGCGTTTGTCCGCGACTTGTCTGTGGACAAGCTGTCTCCTCGTGCTGCTCCTTGCGTCTTCCTGGGTTTCCCCCCTGACGCGCCCGGGTGGCAGTTTTACCACCCCACCTCGCGCCGTGTTCTGTCCTCTCAGGACGTCACGTTTGACGAGGCCGTCCCCTACTACCGCCTCTTCCCCTACCGCACTCCGTCCCTCCCCCCGCCATCGCTCTTCCTTGTGCCAGGTCCTCCCCCAGTAGACCTCCCCCCCCCTCAGGGTCCTGCCCCTTCAGATGTGTCCCAGGTAGACGCAGTCGAGCCTGTCGAGGTTACTGGTGACTTTGGTGGTGCTGAGGGTGCTGCGCCTGGGGGTGGTGAGCGTGTGGGTGCTACTCCTGGGGGTGCTGAGCCTGGGGGTGCTGAGCCTGGGGGTGCTGAGCCTGGGGGTGCTGAGCCTGGGGGTGCTGAGTCTGGGGGTGCTGAGCCTGGGGGTGCTGAGCCTGGGGGTGCTGAGCCTGGGGGTGCTGAGCCTAGGGGTGCTGTGCCTGAGGGTGCTGAGCCTAGGGGTGCTGTGCCTGGGAGTGCTACGCCTGGAGGTGTGGAGCCTGAGGGAGCTTGACCTGTTCGTGTGGCGTCTGGTGGTGCTGGGCCTGGAGGTTCTCCAGGTGCTTCATCTCGGCGGGAGCCACTCTCTCCACAGGAGCTGCGCGAGTGGTTTGCCCGGCGCTGGAGCCGTGCTACTGGAGCTGGAAGTTCTTCTGCGCGAGTGGTTTGCCCGGCGCTGGAGCCATGCTAGTGTCGCGGGTCCCGGAGGTGCTCGTACTGGGAGTACTGGAGCTGCTGGGCCTGCGGGTTCGACTGGAGCTGGTGCTGCTGAGGGTGTTGGCACTGAGACTACTGTTGGCGGTCCTGCTGGGGGTGCTACTGGTGCTGTTGGAGGTCCTGGAGCTACTGAAGGTGCTGCGGGTACCGGAGCTGGAGGTGCTGCTGGAGTTGGTGCTCCTGCTCGGGGTACTGGTGCTGTCCCTGCTATGTCTGGAGTCGCCGCGCGGCCTCGACCGTACTTTGTTCCACTCCTGCAGGAGGTTCTTGGTCTTCCGCATTCTTCTGGTCCTCCTCCTCCCTTAGAGTGTCCACAGCCTGTCCCGTCACAGTTACAGTTACAGCCTCCCTCCCCCTTGCCTGCTCCTTCTCCCTACACTGGTCGTACTGGAGGTCTTGCTGAGCGTCGTGAGCCTGCGTCTCGCCCTGCGTCGCCTGTCCGTGCTGCTCGCACTAGTGGACGTGGTTCGCGTCAGCGTCCTCCTCCTGTCCCTGGCACGCACCGGATGTCTCTGCGTTAGTCCACTGCTCCTCTGCGTGCCCCTTTGCCTTCTCCTCCTGCTTCCTCTCTTCCTGCTCTTGCCGACCTGGAGTCGAACTCTCTTCGTGCTGCCAGTCCTACTGTCACGCGTCTCCTTGCTACTATCGTCACTGACCCTTCTTTTGAGTCCACTGCTGCGTCTGCCCTAGTTGCTGAGCTCGTCGACTTTGCGGCTCGCTGTCGCCTAGACTACGCTGCTAGTCTTGTCGCTGAGTCTGAGTCTGTCTGTCCTCCGTCTGTCGGGGGTGAGTGTGCCCTTGGCACGGACGTCCTTGAGGACAGGCAGGAGGAGTTCCAGTGTCTGGCAGCTGCTTCACCTCATCTCGTGTCCGTACTGCTTACCCCTGAGGGAGACCCGGATGCACTTGACATCCCGACTCCGCGCTCTTACGCGGAGGCGATAGAGGGTCCCTACTCTTCTCAAAGGCAGGCAGCTGTGGACACAGAGATGGCTTCCTGGAAGTCCACATGCACCTACGTTGATGAGGTTCCCCCGCCTGGGGCGAACATCGTCAATGGCATGTGGATCTTCAGGGTGAAGCGGCCGCCGGGTTCTCCGCCTGTCTTCAAGGCACGGTACGTGGCTCGTGGCTTCAGTCAGCAGTAGGGAGTTGACTACTTTCAGACCTTCTCTCCCACCCCGAAGATGACCACTCTTCGGGTCCTGCTGCACGTTGCTGCTCACCGTGACTACGAGCTGCACTCTCTTGACTTTAGCACAGCTTTCTTGCAGGGCAGCCTGCACGAGGAGATCTGGCTACGCCGCCCACCTGGCTTCACTGGGTCGTTCCCTCCTGGTACCCAGTGGAGTCTCTGTTGTCCAGTCTACGGTCTCCGCCAGGCGCCCCGTGAGTGGCACGACACACTGAGGACTACGCTTGCGGCTCTTAGGTTTGCTCCTTCTACTGCCGACCCGTCGCTAATTCTGCGCACCGACACCTCTCTGCCGCCGTTCTACATCCTCGTGTACGTCGACGACTTGGTCTTTGCCACAGCTGACACTGCTGGACTCGCCCACGTGAAGTCCGAGCTGCAGAAGAGACACACGTGCACAGACCTGGGTGAACTGCGCAGCTACCTTGGCTTGCAGATCACCCGGGACAGAGCACGCCGCACCATTACCTTGACTCAGTCACACATGGTGCAGCAGGTCCTTCAGCGCTTCGGCTTCACGTACTCCTCGCCTCAGGCCACTCCTCTGCCTACTCGCCACTCGCTCTCAGCTCTGCCTTTGGATGAGTCCGTAGAGTCGAGTGGCCCGTATCCAGAGCTTGTTGGCTGCCTCATGTACCTAATGACCTGCACACGACGTGATCTTGCATACCCTCTTAGCATTCTCGCACGCTATGTTGCTCCTGGGAGACACCGACCAGAGCACATGGCTGCTGTGAGAGTACGACGGCTTATGCCTGCTATGCTTGCTTGCCTTTACTTTATTATGCTATTTCTAGCATAGGATAATTATATGCATGCATAAATTGCTTGATTTCCTAGGCTAG